TTTTATGTTCTTTGCTGTAATGGGCCTTAATCTGGGCTTTATTCTTTCTTGTGTTATGTTTTTTAATTTTCTGCCCAAATAGGGGCCTCTCTGTAAATTATTAAACTTTAACTTAATGAAATAGAATTAGGGGTGTAAGGGAGAAGGTTATGTTCGAAAATCTCTCTCTGAACCCTAGTTGCTGCCACCTTCTTCTTCTTCTCTCTTATTGAAACCTGATTTCTACTGCTTCTTTTTGATTTTCTGCAACTTTTTGAACAGTCCTTTCTTTTCAAAAGGTTGTTTTTCTTCTGAAAGGAAAAATGCAATGAAGAAAAAACAAGCAGGCAGAAGATATGGAAAAAAGTGTGTTTCATTGACATCTTCTATGTATGCTTTACAAAAAATGGTCTCGGATGGGGGAAGTCGAACCCCTTACAAAAGTTATAAACAAAAAAATAAAGAGAAGAGAAGAAAAAGCAACTCAGAGCGGCCTTCGGTTGGTGCAGGCTGCTCCCCAACGCGCTGCCCCTCGGATGGTTGCACCTCCTCGACCTCAGGTTCAGGAAAAAACCTCAGTTGGTTAACGTCAAACTCGGGCATCAAACTGCGCACTTGGGCTGTCGTGTCTTCAATACCTCCAAGTATGAAACAGCCGTGTAGTTGGTCAGCACTTGTGCGTACTCCTCAAACGCTTTCCAAAGTTCTACGGCCTGCTCTGCCCGCATCTCAGCAGCAGCACGCGCCTCCTCGGCCCGAGACATCTCCTCAGCCAGGATCCTCTGTTCCTCAGAGACCTTCAACCTTCAACCTTCAACGCCTCCTTGAGGGACCTCCTTAGATCCTTCTCGGCCATGATCTCGGCCTCCAAGACCTTCCGCAGGTCCCGCTCTTCATGCATGGCCGAGGAGATTGACTCTCAGCCACTTTCCGCCTCGGCAACTCAAACCTCGAGTTGCTCCCTCTTCTCCTCGGAGGCCTTGATGACCTTGAATTCCTTTGCTGTTGTGTGAGAGAGAGAGAGATGTTATGCAAATCTAGAAAATATCAAGACACTAATAAGGTTTTAATAGAAGCACAGAAATAACATAAAATGAAAAGAAAAGAATAAACCATAAACATCTTTAGTCATTTCCACATGTTCTTCTATATGTAACTTTGGCGGTTCCTTCCATATTCATCAATAGCAAATATATGCAATTGAGACCAAGTATAGTGTGTGTTTTTGTTCTTAGTGAAGCCTGTGTATGGCAGTTCTTTTGGTGGGAGACCTTGTCATCCTCCATCTTTGTAATCCTTTTACATTTGATATGGTAAGGAAATGAGCTTGTTACCAATAAAAAACGAGAAAAAAAAAGGAAAATCTAAATAGAACCTGATTGGCATGCTTTTACCCTCTATGCTAAACCTATCATGAGTCATGACATAAGGCAGCTCCTCAAAAAGCACACAAAAAAAAAGTAACCACAAAATGAACCAGATTAGCTGTTTCTTTTCTTTTCTTTTTTCAATTGGTACATTGACATGTTTTTACCTGCTACTGTAACTGGATAGTCAGAGCACCCAGACATTTGAGTGCTAATCTGCTTGAAACTTCCACTACATCCAACAAAGGGAGTATGCTCCACTTGAGGTTCTATCTCCGAAAACTTTCCTGACCCTTGATCTATTGAAACAATGTACAATGACCAATTCAGGGATGAAAAGAATTACGATAATGAAACCACAGCAGTAAAAGATGCTCAGGATATACTATAAGAAACATATAGAAGTGATAGAAAATGATGACGCGTGCAGTTTATTTCATCCAAATAAAAATACTTACTGATGGTCCCATGTGATGTTCCCAGATTCCTTCTCTCATTTTTCCCAGGATCCACTAAGAAAGCCTTCTGAGTTGCATAGGTGTATTCACGCAACAGGAATCTGTGGTCTTAGGTATTTTACACGTATCTTCAGTAACCCATATTTCCTGAGACATTTTGCAAGCAGATCCATCAAAAGGAGCTTGCCTGTCTGCTTTAATTCCAGCAACTGGATCTTTATAAATTCTGCTTTCTTCCAATAAATTTTGAGGTCTTTCTGGGCTTTCATCAGCTACCAAAATGTTTTCAAGTATACCCTCCTCCAATGGAGCAGGAGGTCTTTCTGAGCTTTCATCAAAACAAGAGTGCTTTTCTTTCTCAACAGTGGCTAAAACCTTATTGATTTTATTACAACCAGATGTCCTCCCTACCATTTCAAAGTTAGAGAGATCAAAAAGAGAGAAGCTTTCTGCTTGTTCAGTTACCAGGTTTCTATCAATCATATAATATGGCACTTCTGCATAGTCTACTGCTGAAAGAGATTGAGGCATTTCATGATCATTGACCACCGGTACTTTTTCCATGACTTTGACATCACGGTCAATTATTTCTATGGCAGATACAGGAGGAAGTGTTGAACTTGATCCCTGCTCGTTCATCGAAACTCCATCAACTGTGTGGCTTGGGACATTTGTAGGGACAGAATTTTTGCCATCTGAAGGATGATCAGAGGAATGTTTGGAC